TCTCTCTCTCTCTCTTTTTCTCTTTCTCTCTCTTACTTTTAATAAAATAACACTTTTTAATAAAGTTATAATTCAAACAGGCACGAAAGATCAGTTTCTCGTATATATGTTCTAATAATTTTTATAATAAAGTTCGAGCTAACAATCCTAATTTGAACATGGTTCATTTTAAAATAAGAAGAAGGGCGTAACGCAAACGAAAATTTGCACGAATCTTGAATACTTGCTCGATTGTATAACGATCGTAAATGCAAATTTTCAATTCGGATGGCTGACAGCAGCCCTCGGATTCCGGAATTGTCGGAGCGCGCCCCGCGATTTTGCCAGCGACGCCTGCAGGAAACTCGATTACACGGTAGAAGGATATTGACGGTCCATAATGCTCATTGAATTTGTCGAACGAGAATTATGTATTGCGTAGGGTTCGATTCGTTTGTTCGCGGGCGCCGCGCTTTTGAGGATATCCCAACGGTGCGCGGACGAGACGCGCGCGATCGGACCGAGCCGTATTACAATAAAATCGTGATCACGATCGGCGGCGGCGCGAGAGAGAGAGAGAACAAAACGGCGAGCGGGGAAAAAAGAGGAACTCGCCGGGAGCGGCGCGTGAATCGACCGGTGCATTATATTCGGATAAAATGATTTTATCGATCGTAAATGCACCGACACGGCGGCGGCCGACGCTAGTCTTATGAACGCTCAGAGATTTATATCCGTTCGTTCGATCGCGCGAGCTCAAGCGGCGAGCTTTTTGTTGATGCAATAAAATTATTTTGAAAAAAGCGAGCGTACGAAGGATCAGAGAGAGGAGTACGCACCCATCGTACCTCGTACCTTTTTATTTTATAACTCTATCACCGAGAGAGAGACAGAGAGACGGAGGGGGAGGGAGGGATATTTTGAAAACTCTGTGATTTAATTCTATGATAATTCTGATTTAAGTAACTAAGTCGCCAACTTGTCCATTGCGAGGCTTGTTGAATAACCATTATATTATTTGTGCGATGGTTGTAGATTCTAAATGCGAGATACGAAGCGGTGCATGTTCCTCCTGATGTTTTATCTGTACGATCGGCTCCTAATAAGCATTCGTTTTCTGGAATGCAATTCCTATGACGGCTGTTTTCTCTGATGCAACGGCAACTTGCATTAGTGAGACTAGTCCGTGGTAATTTTACACACGCAAAAATCAATTGCCGATTGGATTGCGAGGTCAGATCCTCATTAACTGGCGGCGCAGGAAGGGGGATAATTACATAAATAATCTACAGGTCGCATGCGGCAGTCCGATTCAATAAAAATAATTGCACCGTTATTACTCCACTCTGTATTGATTGAAATCCTCGTTACGTAAAGCAACGTATTCCACGCGCTTAATAATAATAATAAATTTTGATAATGCTAATAATGCAGCACCACTCTCTCAAGCATCTTATCTATTTTAATATTCTTTTCCGCCTTCGGCGATGGGAATTATTTCAGCTCGCGCGCACTCATTCGTGTTTTAATTAAAACGGTCCTTTTGCAACTCAACCTATACCTGCCCTCCCCTCGTCGCTCGATCCGTTTCCTAACGCGTAATCATTACGAGACTGCCTTTTCGATTTCCCGTAATGCGACGCGAACGCTGAGGCCTCGCATTAGCGCGGCTCTCTCTCTCGCCAGTAGTAACGCCACGGGAGCGAAATTGATTACCAATAGTACTGCGAGCACGGCGGCTCTCTCGCGCTCCCGTGTTCGGGCAGTAATGATGTTTTGATGCGAGGACCCGGTGCACTGCGTATCGACTGCAGTTAACTAATGGAAGCTCCCCGATAATTGCGAATGCCGTCGGAGAGTAAATGCTGCTAGCGCGACAGTAATCATCGTTATTCCACTCACGCTGCAGCCGCGCAACGATGAAGGAAGCTCTTCTCTCGTATACCTTTGTTTCTCGCCGTGCCATTTCAAAAAGCCTCTCTCTAGCCAATAAATATACATACTACTCTTACAACGAAATTATCTTTTTGCTAGAAATGATTATCGATATTTATTATACATTCATCGAGTAAAAATTGGCCGTAGCGATGAAATGCATATACATTTTTTTGTGAATAAAGAGGAACGTATTGCGAATTTGTTGTTACTTATGTATCTTAATAATCTAATTCTTAATTTTAATTGGACAATTTTTAATGAAAGAAAAGGGGGAATGAAAAAAGAGTTTTATGAGGAGTGCAAGTCAATCCCCGCAGTTTCTTTTACTGTCATTTTAAAATATCTTAAAACTCTCTTAAAATGCCACTCGAGTTCGAGTCGATATATTGGATTATGTATTGCGCACATATAAGCAAATACGGGCATTATGTATTCGCTCGAAGTGCACTAAATTTAGTCACGGTACGAGAGGGGGACATCCGTTCCTCCAATTCAACACTACATTTTTACCTTTTTCTCGCAGAAACATGTTATATGTTATTGGTTCGTAAAAAGTAACAGCGATACTGAAGTAAATTCCGAACGTCAGCGATTTGTCAATAATTCTCGTGCGCTGCTCTTCGAAATTCCGTTTGTAATTCACCGGCGATTTCCGAGGCGCTTATTCAATTCGTCCGCTCGGCGCTCGTTTCACTTCGCCAGTTGTTAATGGTTTCTCATTTCAGTCGATGAAAACGAAACTGAAGCTGTTTTTCATTAGAAATCGTAAAGAATCTTATTTTTGTATTGAAAAACAAAATTATTTCTTGCTTCTATTTCAAGATAACCGATTTCAATGATATCTCTCTTCATGCAAAGTTAAAATTCGATGATAAAATAATTCGGCTTATTTCTCTATCCTCCCGTATATTCAAACGTGTATTCAAACTTTCCCAGCCGCAGGTCCGTTTCACAACACACTGTGAGAGAGCTTCCCCTTAAATTCATAATCAAAACTGCATTAAAATCCTGAAAGCCCTGACGAGGGCGCGACGAAAAATGTTTTGTCATTTAAAGTGACTCGGTAATCGCCTCGATAACAATATGCTCACCTCGTTTTGGATCCCTCTCATTTTGTCGTAAGAGGTTTTCTGATTCGCAATCGGTTAGGTGTTGAAAGACGATTGTTTCATCGACTTTTATATGTCGTGGTGCTAATGAATATATTGATGAATATGTTAGTCTCAAGAATATGCATTTATAATTTCAACTGTTTTGAATTTTTACTATTTTTTCGCTAAAAGATTTATTAACAAGCAATAAAGTTATATTGTTATATATTCTATTATAATTATTGATCTAAATTTTAGGTTTCACCGCATAATTTTGTCTATGAATGTAAAAAAGGGACGATATACATTACATCGATCGTAAAATCTTTTGTCGTGTCTCTGCAACGTGGCGGGCTTAAGTTTTCCGGTTGATTTTCGCGACCGAACTCTTGGGAGAGAGTTTGGGCAGTCGCTCACCGTTCTCGTCCCTCTTCGCACATCCCTTCTTCTCTATCTTTCTCTTTCTCGTTTCGGTTAGAGGATTGTGCGCCATTGTTCGGGCGATATTTCAGCAGCGACGGTGGCTGCTATAGAGTGGAAGGGCGGGGGTGGTTAGCGGTAGTCAGCTGGCTGTGACACGCTGCCTACCTCGCCAAAGAGGAACCAGAGACGCTTAGGAGTATCCGGGAGCTAAAGAGAGACCCTTGGTTTCATGCTCGCGCCAGCGATACTTTTTCGTCTGACGATAGTCGAGGATTTGACTTTGAAGCGATTACATATAATTATTGTCGTGTTACATTCGCATCTGCAACGCAAAGCTTTATTTCGAGCACGTATCATGACTATATTCAGCATCTTCTTACACTAGAGAGAATGACTGTTTTCTTTTACGTGACTTTTGGCTGAATAAATTAGAAGATAAAAATTTACGGTAGTTGGCTATTATACTTAATATCACAGAATTACGATATTGATATAGATATACAAATATGGAGATATTTGCAACGCGTTTAGATGTTCGATTGACGATATTATCAAAATTCTATGGCCGTCTCTACGCTTCCATGCGCGCGTACGCTAATCGTTTCCGAAGTCCTTTATTACTCATTCAGTCGAACGAAGCTCCTTTGACTCATGGCGACTTGTCGAACGACTTACGGGCACCGTCTGTGTCTTAACTGCAACAATGGCCACGTGCATCCAGCGCGCAGCGGCGTGAGCAAGACGCGCGATGAGAGTTTAATAATTATTATTCATAAGATTCTCCTGTGGGAGTCGGCCAGGCGTGAGACTAAGCAAGAAAGATGTGCTGCAAAACAAGAGGGGGTGCCATCGCTTCTTCGGGGCTTGCTTATGTCCTCCTCATCCCCTCTGGCACGGGGAACTGGAGTATTCCACGACGGGAAGGGGGTGTGCTCGAGTCAGTCGAGCAGAAACCCAATCACTTCCGGCGTCTGCGCCCATTAGGGCGCCGCGACGCTGACGTCGGCTGACGTACGCCCTTCCTCTTCGCGTCTCGCTCACTCTATCGCCGTTCCTCTCCCCCCCGGTTGTTCCTATCTCACACTGTATTGAACCTACCACCCTCTTGGACTTCGACCAACATCAGAACAGACCGCAGATCTATTGTTCGGAAAGCGCTCACATGGAAGCTTCTTCAACGCGGGCTAATGACGTATCGAGAATTTTCTTCCTCTTTACCGGATTTCTCCGCTTTTGCTCGCTCATCTCCCGAGCCAGTAGCGCGGTTCGCTTTTTCTTGATTGTTACAAAGATAGCGGATCGCGTCAAGACAATTCTCCCTCTCTTGTATCGTGTGTACCGCATGTAAAATGCGAAGGAGACAAAAAGCTGTAACATTATTTGCAAGATGAACTTTACAGAACTAAAAGAATGAATTTTTTATTCTTTATATATAGAAAAATTATTATGATATCTGAAGGAATTAAACGATTATTAAATTTGCTGTATTGAAAAATTATCTTGGATTATGAATATTAAATAAATCACAATTATCTTATTAACGTGATTCGTTTCGTTTGTGTGTTTCAGGTTCATAAACGCGAGACGTAGAATCGTTCAACCGATGATCGACCAGAGTAATCGAGCCGGTAAGATGAATCCATTTCAGCCAACAGACATTTACACATACCCACACGACACGAGAGACATATACAATTTTGTGCCACCAGTGTCGACCACACCTCACGATTATATTTATTTTCAATAATATCAATTTTCTGATTCTTATGAATTAACATAATTCATTTTGTTTAAATAAAATTAATGTTTCTCTTTTAAGTGCTAGTAAGATTTCTTGTGCATTTTGAAATTATTCAATGTTATTAAATTTTTAGAATAAAGTTTTAACTTTTAACGAAACTTTATTATTATACTCAATATTACCATTTATTAAGATGAATCCTACAACGCGAAAACTTAACTTTGAACTATTAATTCTCTAACAAACTAAATTGTAGATAAGTTCATTCATTTCTTTTTTTATCAAATATAAAATATAAAATTTATTTATTATTATTTCAAATTGGTTCTATCACTTTTGTAATTAATACAAATCATATAATATTCTTACATTAATATAAAGTTCGTAACTATTTCCTGTTCATATTATAGATAGATGGTAAAATTAGTAGGAAAACTTGATAAAAACCGATTGTTTACGAATGGTTTTGTAATTATAGCTGACAATTTAATGCAATAGGACATATAATATCTTTGATATCTGTAGTAGATACTCAGTCTTTGCATGATATTCTTCTTAATATTTTTTAAATAAACGAAACATTCGAATCAAATAAAGCCTGTAGCGTCTACATATTTGTATATCCGCAATATCCGTCGTTTCTCTCGGAAATCAAATCATTTCATGATTCGATTATCGGTCATTCCACGTTCACGATGGAAATTTGAATTTCACTTCTCTCTTGCGTGTCTGATTAATATCATGTCCGACAATCATTCCGTTTCGTGATTTAGAAAGTATTATTACGAAGTTTCACTTCACGCGAATGGATAACAGACTTTTACAATTGCGCAACTATTAATTCTTTAATTTTTAATAAAACTTTTAACCCTGCAACCATGCAGGTCGTTTGCGTCCTCGACATTTTGACTATGTGGTATTTTCCAAAGGTTCATTGATTAAATTAACAATTGCAAAATTAATTTTATAATATTATTATTGTTTAAACTTATAGGTAAGATCTCAATGTACACCTATGACATTTTTTAGAATTTTTAAATTAAAATTTCTGTGCTAAATAATTAACATACATGTATAATCTTTTGTCTATGAACACGAAGGAAATTTTTATTGGAAAAAGACTTATTTTAAAATATTTTTTAATTCAACGTACTAAGCATTTATAAAATAAGGATGATTTTTTTACGTGCGGCAATGATCTTATTAACTTTACTGAAGATAGATTAATATGAGAGAATTGAAAGTTTGATATCAGGAAAAGATATTCCTTCGTCGAATAATCTGTAAAGACGACGCGTTTACGAGGAGAGAATCACTTCGTTTGCAGTAAAAGGCGACAACAACGGGCCTTCGTGTTTAGGGTAGAACCATTCTCTTTCTCTTTCTCTCTCTCTCTCTCTCTCTCTCTCTCTCTCTTTCTCGTTCTTTCTCGGTTAGGGTTCAAGGGATCGGTAGTGATTCGGATGATGGTGAGAGGGTTCTTCCGTGGAGTACCGGGTGGGCAGAGGTGGATAACGTTCCGGATAACGTTCGGATAACACTCGGATAACGGTGGGATAATTGGTAGCGGTGATCAGACCGAGTTTTACGATCAGGGAACATGCTCCCGTTGCCACACAGTCGAAACTCTTCTCGCTCTATCGGCCGTGGCCTCTCACGGCCCGTCTTTTTCTTACGTTTTTATCCGTGGCCACGTCTTTGTCCCGCGACGCGGAAAGGACCGCCCGAGGAAAAGTTTGGCGAGGGTGAATCGAACTAAACGGTCGAAACATAGAGAGAAAGAAAGAGAGAGAGAGAGAGAGAGAGAGAGAGAGAGAGAGAGAGTCCGATTCACCTCGTATTTTTACGACTGGCCCCCTCATAAACACTCACTGAGTTACGGGTTGTTTGCTCTGTCGAAACTGGGCTTTAGGGGCGCTTTATCCGCCATACGTATCCACGAAACGCGCTCTCCGGGATAGCAAGGAATCGTTCTCTTCTTTTTCGTACTTCTTTCTCTCTCTCTTTCTCTCTCTCTCTTTCTTTCTTTTCCCTCGAGTTGACGCACACGCTTCTCGCGGGCTTCTGCAAATGATGGCCGTAGCTTGCTTCCGTATTTTTTTAACGTATCGTACACCGAAGTGCACTGAACATTCGAGTGTCTTTATGAGAATCTTCTCTGTGAGTATCATAAACGTCTTTATGTTCTCCAGATTTCATTCAAATTCGCGTGAGCGTGTTATCAATGTTGTGACCTGCGTGAACTGATACCCATGATGATGCTAATTACTCCACGAGATTTTCGCTGACAATTAGAAATGTTCTCTCGACGAAATTCCAGAAGTTTTGTTTTATTAAGCTTTCTCATTGACTCTATATATACACGGGAATAATAAATTTATTCATGCTATCGAGCAACGTTTTCTTTGTTTTGAGTCAACGACATTGATAATTGTCGCGCATACGCGTCACCAAGCGAATTCGAGCGATAGCTAAAGGGATATTCGCGAGGGAAATGACGGGGGGTTGTGAGGCTCGCGGGTATCGAGGGACGAGGAGAGAGCGAGAGCCCGGCGACCTGAACGTCGTCGTTCGCATCGGGTAAAGTGGAAACCCGTGTACGCCAGATTATCATCCCGAGTCAATCCTGATCACAGTTCCATCGTGCCGCAAACAGGCAATCCACGACCTTTCCAGCCCTTCCGCCCGCCGCGTCGCCAGTGCCATCGCCTAGCTCCGTTTTCTCGCCTGCTCTCCGACTGGCAAACCAGTTTCGCTAGAAAGAGCATATACCTTTTGCGCGCGATTGAAATCGATGGAGCTACGCGAGGGCGTCCCGCCGCTGCCTCACGTCCCGCTCGATTATTGCGGCCAGAGAATGACGCGCGGAGATATTTTTATGGATGGAAATGGCGAGAGAGAGAGAGACGTCGTGAAGGTCCACCAAGTTCGCGGCTCCGACCATTTTTCCAATTCCTCGGAGACTTGGCCTGTATCCCACTCCGCCTGCTCCTATCCTGCTCTCCATCGACGATCAGCAGTCCATTAAAGCTTAATAGCCGAAGCATTAGGCCCCAGGGCAGATTTTGTTCCAACGGAAGTGAGATAAATGTATCTTTCAAATGCTCCTAGTCCCCCGTGATCTGTCGGTAGCAATGCTGAAATTGTTATTCCTCCTTTTGAACGACTACGTTTTACACCATCGATCAAAACACTCTCGAATTATTTAATCTTATTGGTCAGTAAACGTAAATTTCTGAATTTTTATCGAAGCTTTTTAGTGTGTAATGTTGAGTACATTATTAAAAGCGATAATCAAATTTCAATGCACATGTTTATCAAATCAAAATGCATTAGCACATCTATATACATATACACTTTTGGAAAATTTTTGTAGTTTTGTTAAAAAAGGTCCTTGTTAAAATTTTTGTGTAAAATAATCAACACATGCATGTGTAGATTTAACATATGCCTCCTATGTTAATTGAACTCAACAAATTTAAAATGTAAAATTATTAAAATAATTTAAAAAATATGTTAAAGTACCACAATTTGAACATATTTATTAAATGTATTAAAATTTACAGAAAAAGACTGTTGATTTTATCTTACAATCTTAACTTCAACATAAAAGTTATATAGGAATTACATTTCCTTTCTGTTGAAATATTTTAACATAATATCGGTGTTATTATTTAACACATTCATATTATGTTAAATTAACACAAAAATTTGAGTGAACCGTTTGGGACATGTGATTTATGTTATATATTTAACACAAATTTTCCAACAGTGTACAGAGATATAACAAAATGTATACTTCTTATGTAATATTAAAACATTTTTTTTACTTGTCAAATTTCTTGTTTCTTTCTCGTCCATTAATTACGCAGAAATCCCACGAGCATATTGCTGTCTGTCCACACGTATTCTCGAATCGTGCACATAACTTTTCTTACGCGAGCCTCACGAAGGATCGTATTAGGACGGAGTCACGTTAATTCAGAATGCGTCTTGAGACGACGACGACGACGACCGTGCACGACTTGTCGAGACTTGCAGGCATGCATATCCTTCTCGGTTCGCTCCTCCGTATCGAGCTAATGATGCGCGTCGGTCGGATCATCAATCATACTTTCATTACGTGGATCCCAGCTGCTCCACATTGACTTCGCGGCCCGCGGGGCATTGTTATTATTCCGAGATGAGAGATGCATTCCCGCGCACGAGCGCGCACTAACTCGCGTTTCGCGCCTTACACAATGCGCGGCGTGCGTGCGCGCGCGGAATTCCCCGCTTATCGCCGATAACGGCTGCAGAAGCCATCGAGCGATCGGTAAGTTTACGATTCATCCCGTTCGCCTTAACGATCACAGATCCGTATCTGCGTTCTGCGGAGAATGCAACACGGTGAATGCGTTTTCTTTCATCGACATACGTGGGTTGCGCGAGTTGCTTGATATTCTGGTAAATACATAAAGTGCACCATCGTCTGCGATGCTCATCGCAATTCTCACACCGATATTTTAATATTAATGAAAAATATATCGTTGGGGCATTACAAGTAACAATTTTTGATAATCGCAGTATTCGTAAAAGCTATTCGTAACAATTCTTAGTATTACTTTATGCATACAGTAGCATACAATTTTTCTGCGTAGGTGTGTGAGACTAAGAACCGGTTTATACTTGAAGTTAACGCCTTTACGCATCGTTAGTCTTCTTTACCCTGCATTTAGAAATAGAATAAATTTGACGGCATTAACGTGTCGTCAAGAGGTATAATTATACACGGCTTTCCCCAGCAAGCTTTCCTAAAGTTCTACTATATATAGCGATTGTGCTCGAATGGATTACGGTTATCCTTTATCCGGCAGTGAAGGAACGGCTCGCCGAAATTAGTGTAAA